TATCTCCTTAAGAATATGATTTGGGGGTGCCTGGCTGGCTCAGTTGATGGAGCATTTGACACTTGATCTTGGGGTTGTGACTTCAAGCCCTACACTGGGCCTAGAGTTTACTTAAAAAAAATGAAAACTCTTGGGCACCTGGATGGCTCAGTGGGTTAAGCCTCTGCCTTCAGCTCAGGTCATGATCCCAGGGTCCTGGGATCGAGCTCCGCATGGGGCTCTCTGCGCAGCGGGGAGCCTGCTTCCCCTCCCCACCATGCCTGCCTCTCTACCTACTTGTGATCTCTCACCGTCAAATAAGCAAAATCTTAAAAAAAAAAAAAAAAAAATGAAAACTCTTTTTAAAAGAAGAACATGATTTGGAGAAAAAAAGAATAAGCTTTGGATCATGGTTTCATCGTTTGATAATGTACATCTCTGGACTGATTGGTTAACCTCTCTAATCCTGTTTCTTCATCTGATGGAGAATGGCAAAGGAAAAACTATAAGGTTAATAACACTTACATTGTAGAGTTAGTGTTAGAATTAGAAATAAGGTGGTAAAGTGTCTAGCATGTAGTAGGTACTCCATAAATAAAAGCTAACATCATTGCTCCCTCCTCACTAGCTCTTCAGCATCACAGTGACACCTATCTAGCCTTTCATGCCCTTCGTTTTCTCCTAACCGAATCATCCTTCCCAGGCTTCGTGTTCCTGACCCAGCCTGGACTCCACACTCCTTTGATTCAGTCACAATCTTCAATATCTTTTTTCAGTTCTCTGTTGAAAACACTGTATTAGCCCTGAATTAGCTAGGCTTCTGTTGTTCACTATTAACCCCCTAAATGCATTACAATGTAGCTAGCTGCACTAGCAAAAGTTACAAATGACATTTTAATCACCACGACTCAGAAATTTTCTTTAGTCCTTATCTTCTTTGGCCTTTTCATGGCAGGTTACAGTGTTGACCACTGCTAGTCCTTGAAATACTCTCTCCTCCCTCAGCTTCTGAGACAAATCTCTCATAGTTTCCTTTTTTCATCTTTGGTCTGTCTGGCACAGATGGTTGGCTTCTCTTCACTTGCCCCATACAGTAGCTCCCAACAGAAATGTGAAATCATTCTAAATTTTCAACCTTACTGAACTCCAAAACCTGATTATTTACCCTGTATTGTTGATAATACTCGATCTCTTATACATCCACCCTGCCCCTTTTTATCCCTCATCCTTTCTCACCAGGAATGGCTTCCTAACCTGACATGCTTCCAGTTTTGCCCTTCTCTAATCCAGCATTCACTTCACTGTCAACAGGATAGGTCTAAGACACAAACCTGATTCCATCACAGCATTTTGCCTCCACTCAATCCTCACAGCCTTCAGGATAAAGTTAAAGCTCCTTAACTTGGCTGACAAGGCATTCAGTGATTTGGCCTCTTGCCACTTCACTAGCCCCTGTTTGAAAACTATGCTGTCCACCTATAGCTTCTGATTACTTGAATGTGACTTGTCTAAATTGAGATGTGCTTTAAATTTAAAATACATACCAGACTCTGAAGACTTAGTATGAAGAGGGAAATGTCAAATATTTCAATACTTTCAAAATATTGATTATATGTTGAATGATAATATTTTAGCTATATCAGGTTAAATAATCTGCTATTAAAATGAATTTCAGGGGCACCTGTGTGGCTCAGTGGGTTGAGCCTCTGCCTTCGGCTCAGGTCATGATCCCAGGGTCCTGGGATCGGGGAGCCTGCTTCCCCCCTCTCTATCTCTGCCTGCCTCTCTGCCTACTTGTGACCTCTGTCTGTCAAATAAATAAATAAAATCTTTAAAAAAATGAATTTCACTTTTTTTAACTGCATCTACTAGAAAATTCACACATGTATATGACATATTTGTGGCTCACATTATATTTTTATAGGACAGGGCTAGTCTAAAATGTTTTTTTCTCATATATTGAGGTGACAGGGTTAAGGGAAGGGGGAGGCCAGATGGGTTAAGGAGCAAAATAAACTGTTCTTTTATCTAAATAAATAAATAAATAAATAAATAAAAATAAAACATCCTCTCCCTTTTTCTGCATGTAGTTAAGTCCTACTCTTGAAGATTAGCTCGAGTAACCCACGAGGATGTATTTCAGGACTCCCCCTGCCCAACTACCTCAAGTCTGAGTCAGCTACTCCCACCTACCCCATCCAGATTCTCAGACAGGTGGTGCTTCTACCCATAGGAATCTACTTACACCTGTGTCATAGATCACAGCACATTGTTAATTATCAGTTATCAACTACCTTCTCCTCCTCAACTGTACATTGCTTGCAAGAAGGAACATCATTCTACATTACACTCAGGGCCTACCAAGCCTACCACTTAAAAGGCAATCAAAACATTTGTCAAATAATATGAACTATCTATTCCTGGCCTGAAAGTTTCTAGAATTTCTAGTTCTACAAGGAAAACAAAACATCAGTGAAAGAAGGTGCCTATAGACTTTCCAAGGAGCTCTAGTAATGAAAGGACTGTGGTGGTGGTGAGGACTCGGAATTACAGAGAGAACAGCAATGAGAAAGCAAAGCTCATCACACACACCTGCCTCTTACAGTAAAACAGGGATTTGCAGCAGTGATATGGAACCCTGAACTCACTCTTGGCATGCCAGGGGCCACAGTCTGGTTCCTAAATTACTTAAACAACCCAACCAACAAAAGAGTATGATTTGGCAGGTTTCAACATAAACAGCTAGAGCCCAGCACCTGTTCCACTTAAACAGCACATCATTACAGTTAAAAACAACAACAAATCTCTCTCATGAAGCAAATGCTAATCTCATGATGCTTCACCATGGAGCAATTTAGAAGAGTTATTATATGAAATGTGCCAAAGCATGAATTTATGGCTGATGCTTATTTGGCAAATACGGTTGGCACGGTTAGATGTTGCAAAACATGTATGCAAATAAGCAAATAAAAGTTTTTAAGCTCTCAGACTTAAATATTTACATTACCATAAATGTACAAAGATAAATGTTTATATGAGTACACATATAATGCATTCCAGGAACACATTTTTTAATGTGACTGTCAGAAACAGTTATGAAGTGGCATTATTTCTTTATGGGCCTCAGGGCAGACTCTTAAAAATGAATTCTGACAGAATGTTAATGGGGTACAAACATTAGCAAGGAAGTTTCTCTGTACTATCACTGGGTAAAAGGAATACTCATAATACCATAACAGTTCAAAGCAATCTTATCTTTTCCTTTCGCCAAAATATTTTCTTCCCATCCTGGAACCCAGCCAAACATAAATATCAGCCCCTAAAAGGGAGATAAAGGATAGAAAGGAGGACCACACATCACAAAGCCTCAAAGAAAATAATTTGACATTTTTTTCCCACATAATATGATCAAGTTAGAGTCTCCAAAATAAAGACATGATAAAATATTTCCCCCTCTGACAGCTATGGAAAGATGTTTGTTTTTTCACATAGTTTTTGAGTTGGTCATAGCCAAAACTCACTAGGAATGGTATGAATTCTGCTTCCATTGTTAACTATTAATCTCTGGGACAAAGCTATAACTCCCATTTTCGAAGCCACAAAAATGTACCATACCTGCCAGTATAGCTTACTAAAAGAGTCACGGAAGAGAAGAAGTGACAGGCACTTCAGAAAGTAATTAAGGTAGTCAGTGAATTGAGCTATCTGGAAAAGCTCTGAGATTACAGGAGAGGCCATCATGAAGCAACTATCCAAGACTTCTCATGGAAAGTTTTACCCCTGTGCATAATTCACGTTTTTCACTTCCACACTATAGAGAGCAATATGGGTTCTCCCACTACACACATTCCTACATTATTTCATTTATCAGGATAAAAAAACGCTGTGGCTGAACAAAAAATCAGTACACAGGCCCCAAAACAGAATCCTGGTGGCAAACACGATTCAGGTGAAAAGCTGTTGACATACATCATCCAATGACCTAAAAATAGCCTTTTATGTAAGTCTCCAAATACTTAATTCAACGCCTAATCTTACCACATTTAACAGAGGCAGAAGAAAAAATGTATTGGGTTTTCTATAGCAAAGCCAATAAAGATGAAATCATAGTTTTCTTTTAACTCGTCACTATCCCCTCAACGCCAGCCTTCTAATAACTCCATTCCACAGCTCTCAAATTCCTAAACTTGGATCTTGGGGTGGGGGGGGGAACGGATGGCGAAAAAGTACCATTTAAAGGTGGGAAATCTCCTTCCTGTTGCTCTCAGCAGTCTTTAACATTGTCAAAGGTCGAAACACGAAATCAAATTCTCAGACCGATGGTGCAGAGACAGTGAGGCGGAGGGATGGGGGTTCAGACTGCTAGTCCTCAACGCGGGAGGTAAGAAAAGTAGCAAGAACAGATGAGTCAAAGGGCAAAGGAGAAACAAACTGACCAACCGAACCACTGAAAATTCCCAAACAACCCAGCAAACCCGCACATTAGGGGCCTCACAAACCGCAGGGCCAAGGGAATGGGCAAAGAGCCCCCGGGTTTTGTCCCGGCGCGGCCGGCGAGGCTGCGCCGGATCCGCCCGGGTTTGGAGCAGGATGACCGTGTAGGCTCAGCAAAGAGAGAGAGAAGCCCTTCCTGCCCCAGTCTCCCTGCATCCAGCTCTTTACAGGCTTCACTTTCCCCAGCAGCCTCCCAACCGCGCCCGGGGGCGTCCCTCTTCTCCAGGTCCCAACTTTCCCTCCTCTGGGGGGCGCCGAGCTACCGGGGCCGCAGCCGCCGGCGCTGTAGGGGGCGGGGGCGGCGGCGGCGAGCCCCGGGGGCGACGGGGCTCGGGGGTGGCCGCAGAGCCCGCGCCAGGCGGGACACACCGGCCGCCTGGGCCCCCGCGGCGGCGCCACTGGACCCCGAGCCGCCCCGCCCGGATTCCCCCGGGTCAGCGCCCTCACCCCAGGACGACCGTGGTCCCGCAAATCGGCTCCGGAGGAGAAGGGAACCAAGGGGACGGGGGGAGCCCTGCCCCCGTTACCTGAAAGGCGCACATGCCACTGTGGTGACCACCATCGCCGGCCGTCCCGTCCCCTTCCTGGTGACCGCGGCCGCCTCCACCGAGCAACTGACACTGACTAACAAGTAACTAACTACTCGCCGCCGCCGAGTCTGCCGCGCGCTCCCGGCCGCCCGCCGCCCGCCCAGCCCACCAGCCTGCCAGCCTCCTCCCAGCCCAGCGCGCCACCCCTCCGCGCGCACTCGCCGCCGCGCTCCCTAGGGGAGAGCACGCGCGCGCGCTCGAGCCCTCGGCCGTCGGCACCTCTCACCAGCCTCACTTCGGCCCCGCGGGAGGAGTCACCGTGACGCCCCTCCTCTCGCGTTCCTACCTCCAGAGGATGAGCCTATGAGGGCACCTGACTGGTGACGGGGGCGTGGCCAAAGGAAGAGGGCTGGACGAGCAGGACCTTGGGCCAAAGTGAAGGGAAATTTTGGTTCCATTAAGTTCCAGAGGAAAAGGGCAACAGAGTATTGGCCCTTTTGGTGCTGAAGTCCCCTGGTCAGCCTGCCCTCGAATACAAAACATGTGTTTCCAAGGATTCCAGTATATAGCAATTACCGATTCCTTTCTGCAGGCCTTAGCAATTTAAAAAACTACATCTCCCAGAAACCTCCGCGAAAGTAAGACTCACCTTGCGTAATCACGTAGTCCTTCGCCGCATTTGAACAAAATAATCCCTTCGTTTTTCTGAAGGTGTGGGGAATAATATTCCATTTTTCTCCCCACCGGAACAATTTTAAATGTTACTGCGCTAAGAAAAGTTACCTATGGGAAGATGGTTAAGCGACTAGGTAAAGGGAAAGAAAATATGTCAAAATAAAGTGCTGCGGATGAATTTTTTTCCATGCTGTGAGGCGACGGAGTGAGAAGAGTGAAGGCGATTGAGAGGGGCTCAGGGAATTGTCCTCTGTGCAAGGGACTTTCTATAGGCCCCAGGCCCCTGCCTGCCCCTATCATCAGCAGGTCAGTAAGCACGGCGAGCTTCGGGGTGTCCACAGTGGAGGTGCCCTTCACCCCCTTGAGGATCATCTCTCTTTTGCTGTTGTTACTGGTTTGTCTCGGTTTGAGGCCGACTGAATGGGGGCGCTTCACTTCCGGTTGGGGGAAGGGAGGAAGGCCGTCCAAGGGGAGGGGGAAGACAGAACTCATTTCCTGTGGGGGTAGGGTGATGGTTTGGGGGTGTCCGACCCACTTCCCTTGCCGGCGAAGGCTTGAAAAGGTGATACTTGGTGCCATTTGCATAGACGGTCTCTTAAAGTTTTAGGATTGTGTTTTATGTGAAAAGTTAGGTTATTCCACAAAGTTGTGCTAATCACCAGCCTCCAGTCAGAATTTTTGAGTTTTATTTCCACGTGTAAGATGGAAAATTTCCTCCCCCGTTGTTTAATGCGTTCATCACAGTATTCGAAGACCCTCGTTAAAACTACTCCGCTCTGCAAGACAAACTTTATTGTGTAATTAATGGATTCTCCACCTCTGCTCCCCTACTCAAGTCCAACCTTGATTGAGTGAGGTATAGTGGTGTGTTCTGTCTTGGCATGCCACCGGAACTCTGTAGGTGCTCTTTTAAGGAGGTGGTTTCTTATAGGACTCAGTGTTTTGAGGCATTTTCACCTTATGAGAGTGGAAGTATCGTACTGAAGTACTAAAATACTTGGTTATTACCTTAACTGGTACGATTAGGGTCTTAAATTCTTAGACCTGTTGATTTTAGGCTACAGCTTTTGCCCTGTACCTGAAAACAACTTCCCCTAACCTTAAAAATTCTTACATGTAACTTTCATGTAGCACTTGTGAGAGTTGTGCGCTGGTATATTTTTCCCCTTTGAAATTTAATTTCAGCACCGATTAAAAACTGGTATCTGCTCTTTGTGTTTTCAAACCATGGTGCAAATGTCATGATACTAAGCTAGATTTTAAGCATGAAGGACATTTGGCTCAAAGAGGACAAAAGGTGAATAAGACAGAACTTTTTATTTTTCCTATGTTCTCAATGCTTTATAAGAAACGATATGTAAAGTAATAAATACTCAACAATTTAGATTTCTTGGCTTCTCTTTTCAAGTATCACAGTGTGTGTGGGTGTGGGGTGTGTGTACTGAAGGAATCAATCTGGAGCCTATGAAATCTCAACTTTAGTGATTTTAGAATACCAAGTGAACTGTAATGTCTTTAAAGGATTTTTAAAAGAATAAGTCCTGTGTATTTTTTCCTTTGGGATTTGTTACCTACTCTATCCTCAGAATTTGCAGTTGTTTTAATTCTAGTTCTTTTATTTATTTATTTTTAAAGATTTTATTTGTTTATTTGACAGAGAGAGATTACAAGTAGGCAGAGAGGCAGACACAGAAGCAGGCAGAGAGAGAGGAGGAAGCAGGCTCCCCGCTGATCAGAGAGCCCGATGCCCATGCCGGACTCTATCCCAGGACACTGAGATCATGACCTGAGCCAAAGGCAGAGGCCTAACCCACTGAACCACCCAGGCGCCCTAATTCTAGTTCTTTTAAAAAGTTATTTCACTTAGAGTTTATTACAAAATGTTTTAAACCAAATATTACAATAAGGAAAAAATATGTGTTTTAACCTTCTGTAACATTAAAAAAAAAAAAAAAAACTAAGACCCTAAAATCAGTGAGTTATCTTTTGAAAGACTACAAAATTTCTGCAATAACTGAAAAAACAAGACCTGATAATGTCTATGTTATAATTAATTGAAGGTTAAGGACATGTAGAGTGCTGCAAACAAGTATTAATTAATTGATTAGAAAGAAAATGCTCACTATCTTTCATATAAATGTAATACAGAAGAAAATATGATATGATCACCCTGACAAATTAAACTATAGTATTAGGAATTATTGAAGTAAGCAAATATTGTGCAACTAAATGAAAAAGATAGAGAAAATTTAGTTAAAATATTGATTGAGATTCATAGTACTGCCTTTAGGAAACAGGAGATCAAAGGAGTTTTTTTCTATTGGGTCTTTATGATATTCCGTGGAAGAATTGCAGTATAACAGAAATTAGAAAAATTTGTGCAGCTGAAAGACTTGAGCAGCTTGAAGAACTGTCTGTTCTGAAGAAAGTAATATATACAGCACATATCTGAAAGAAGACGTTTTGTGATAAGTGGTAGTTATTCATTGGTTCCATCAAAGAAGAAATCTTAGAAAAGCTTGTGAAAAACAGAGGGGAAAGTCTTTAAATCTTTAAATGTCTCTTTAGGAAGGATTGCTATACTCCAAAGACTTTTTTTTCCTTCTGTGCTCTTTGTTGCAGCTTTTTTGGTATGTTTTAATAGAAACATAGTATCAAAATTAGAAAAATAAAGACTTACGGAAGTGTACTCTGCTACTTCTTTGAGTTAATGATTTTGACATTTTTCATTCCATTGCTTGCCATCTATAAGAAAGAAATTGTTGGTACTTTTAGGCTCAGATTAGATAGCCATTTTCTTTTCCAAAAACAGCCCCTGGATATATTGCTCACAGAAATTTAAAACATTAAAATAATAGGTCAAAACTCTGGATTCCATTTCATTGAATCTGATTATCCACAGAGTCCTAGGTGTTGTATAAAGTGCAAAAGTGTCTTTTAATTTCTTTTGTCCACCTTTCATTGTAAAATCATGCTAATGTTTTACAACTATTGCTTTTTTTGTATATTTGTTTTGGTAGTTTGTTTTATACCCTGGGGTTGAATGTTAAAGAGAGTACCCTAACAACTTCATTTTTAAGCTTACTACTCTGCTATCTTTATCTCTATTTCTTTTTTTTTCTTTTAATATTTTATTTATTTATTTGACACAGAGAGATCACAAGTAGGCAGAGAGGCAGGCAGAGAGAGAGGCGGAAGCAGGCTCCCTGCTGAGCAGAGAGCCCAATGCGGGACTCCATCCCAGGACCCTGAGATCATGACCTGAGCCAAAAGCAGAGGCTTAACCCACTGAGCCACCCAGGTGCCCCATCTCTATTTCAAGAGTATTCTAATGAGAATACCCCTTACATGACTTTACATTATGTCAGCAGAAGTTTATTGAATGCTTACTGTGAGATGGACTCTGTTCTAGGGACTTGTGATGTATCAGTGAGTACGGACAAATAACCCTATTCTCATGGAATTTACTCTCTTAGTCTCCATATGAAAAGTAGACTCTTGCTCCCTTGGTATGCCGAAATAAGATCTATCATATAATCATTTTTCATATCGGATTGAGTAGCAGCCCTAAATTTCATCTCTCTTTATCTTCATCTCTAAACCATTCTAAAACCAGTTTTGAATATTTCAGCCTGATTTTTCTCTAGGCCATTAAATCCCCTCTGTTAAATATTTAGTCCTTTTCATTGATGCATGCATCATAAACTTACCATCCTGGCCTCCTTTATATAGTAAAAACAAATAAAAGTGAACAGTAGAGAAAATAGAGGACCAGTGAGGCCTGGTTTCAAAACTGATGTCCACCTTTTACTAGCTGAGCTTACTATCTTGGTTACCTTGAGCAATTTATTTAACCTCTCTGAGCTTCAGTTGCTATAAACCTAAATAGGGTTGTTTGGTCCATCGAAAATATTCTGAGTAAATCACCTGGCACAATGCCTGGTGGTAGGAGCTTAATGAATGCAATTATTTTATTCCCAGTCTTGTTTCTGCTCTTTTGGCCATTAAGATTTGCCTACAAGTGTGTTTTAAGCCTTAGATGTCCCCAAAAGTATGTAGATGCAGTGCCAGGATTATTGAAATTATACCTTCTCCCATCAACGTGCTTGGCTATTAAGATTTTATTTTTTATCCCTTGTTGGAAGGAGAGATCTCTAATATCCATGACCACTTTAGAAAATATATATAATAGAAAAGTTTCAAGAAAAGATTAAGGAGTACACCAAAGTAATTTGAATTGTTATAGAAAGACTTTCAAATGATTCTTCTAAACCTATTTAAATACTAAGCCTAACATTCAAGAGCCTTCACTCATTACTCATCTACACATTCCTAACTGGACTGGTCTCTGAAAAAAATTCTGTACTATACCCAGCCTTTCAATCTTTGTTCTTGCTATCCTCTGCCTTAAAAATGTTCTCTTTTCCTAGGACTCCCTATCTATCAAAATGCCATCATCTTGGAGGCCCTACCACCTTCAACTTCAGGATGTATTTTTTGATCCTGAAGGATCAAAA